GGGTTTTGGGGTTTAGGGTTTCGGAGGCTCAAAAAGGGATTCTTTGAGGGCTCCACGCCCAAAGTTCTGTCCTTATCATTTATGAAGGCCCGATTGTTCAGCGTTTATGGGGCGGGGGGGGGGGGGGGGGNNGGGGGGCGTACTTATGTGTACCCGAATACAAGCAAATATAAATAGATGTAAGCCATTTGCATGTGGCTTGCAACCCAGATGCAACTCCCTTATAAAGACACCAACCTTGCTAAGATGATACTGAACTTAGAATTTACTTATACATGCATGCAAATGAATATAACTGGGACAAATGATTGTAAGTTTCTCTAAGTATTAAGTATTTATGTTTTTTGAGCACTTTCAGTAAGTTCTTTGTACGTCAGTTGCAGGAGACTTGGACCTGAACCGGAAAACAATTAGCAAAGCTTAGCTTGTTGAGGTCGTTTTCGAGTCTTTTTCTACCGGCATCATAGCTCCTTTTTTACAGGACATTTTCCCAGTCGTGATACTTTTGAAAGGCTTTCGGTGCAGTACTACACTTCGGCGGCTTCTGCCACTTCAGACCATACTCTGGTTACATTGCCTTTGAGCATAAAGCGGCTCTTGCCGCTTCTTAATGCTTCACTTCAGCGGCTTCTGCCGCTTCAGAAGAATCAGGATCATAATAGTGATAGGTATAGCTCCCTTTGAGTATACAGCGGCTTCTGCCGCTTGTGGCCTCGTGTTGTGAACGGCGGAATCTCTGAGTATCCTGTGGGACTTGCTTTCAGGGTCGTTCTGCAGGGGGAAGAAGTTTTGGTCTTCGTGTCTTTCTCACATCGTGACAAAGGCTTGGCCGCCCTTGCTTAACCCTGAAGAGATACCCTTTTCAGAATTAAGAATGCTTCGCCGAAAGTCCAACATGCGTGCTTCAGACTTTTGCGTTCAAAAGTTTGAAAGGGTTTCGGTTAGGCCGCATGCGGCGTTGCTGCAGCCAGTCCGGGTTGCATGACTCACTGAGCGGCTCCGGCCGCTTCAGCCTGTGGAGCGGCTCTGACCGCTGCAGCTTGCGGCTTGCCCAGCGGCTGTTGCCGCTGCAGTTTGTTGTCGTCTCAGTTTTGTTATCGAGTCAGCGGCGTCGGGCTTTGCCTTGTATAGGCAGCATCTCCGCGCCTGGGTGCCAGGAGCGGTGAGTCGCAGTCGGTTTCAAGGAGCAGTGGTTCAGGCTTAGTTGCCAGCTGGGCTGAGCCTGGGCTGCCCTGCAGATTCAGCTCAGGCTCACGTAGGGTTTGGGTTGCGACCAGCTGCGACCAGGTCCGACTTAGTTTCGACACACATTTCGCTCCAATAGATGATTCAGGGTTCGGAAATCAGGGTTTTAAACGTGCAAGTTATATTTAGGCTCTGCAGCTCCGAAGCACGTTTAGTGCGCTAGTGTTAGGAGGTCCCACGTCAAGCAACCATTGGAAACTTAAAAATCAATTCTCCAAGTGTCTTTCAAAAGTGATTTCAAAAACCCGGTCCCGGAAAGCTGTCCGGAACAGTGATTAGAAAGTGATTTGGGAATTTGGAAAAAAGTGAATTTTGTTTGGCCGGGTGCAAAGTGAAAACACAGTGATCTTACAGACTTCGAAAACGGTAAAAAAAACGAGTTGATAGTTATGATTTTCGTGCTGCGGATAAGGATCTGGTGGGAGACATCAAATTTACGCTGTTATCGTTTTTCGAGCCACTTAAAAATCACTTTTCAAAACACTTTTGCGAGCCGAAATCACTCTAAAATCACTTTTCGAGTGGCCATTATTTCACTTGTGCGAATGCCACAAATCACATTTTCAGCTTTTCCCCGGTGCACGAAAAACCCAAATCACTTTTTCAAATCACTTCTAAATCACTTACTTTTCCAGAAAGTAATTGTTTTAAACCATCCCAACGGTTGCCTGACAAGGACCTCCTAACGCTGGTGTCTGCCCAGTTTTTTTCTCTTCTGCTGTCCGTCATGGCCCTGGCGACCCAGAAGACGTGCGGCAAGTGCAAGTCTCCTTTCGACGAGGCCGACTTGAAGCAGAAAGGCAACGACAGTTTCGTGTGCTACTCCTGTCACGGCCTGTCTTGCTACCTCTGCAAGGTCAGCATCCCAGCGTCGTTGCACCTTCGGGAGGCTCGACTGAAAATAAAACAAGCGGCTTTCGCCGCTTCAAATCTGCGCTTACTGCTACGAGTTGCGCACATCCAGCGGCTTCTGCCGCTTTTGTGCGTGCTTGAAGGGAGAAAAACTATGTGACATGTTACAAAATTTACCCCAAATCCTGAAACAGCATAAAACGAACTGTACCTTTCATGCAAAACAATGTTCAAAAATACACAACGGCAAACTTAAAATAACTCGTAAGTAACTTAGCATACCTTAGTTCAAATACGTATAATTTTGTAAATAGTTCCATTTAGTTACTTGCACATTCGTTAAGTATGTCATAAACCGCCTATAATTTCGTATAAGTTGAGCGTCTCTCCACCGTACAGGTGTAGACAGACTTATCAAGAGGTTTGGACGTCATCAGACAGCAGCTGATCGGGTTTTATATGAAAGTGTTTTGCAACGTTTCATGTGGGCGCATGGGAAGTTTCTAGCCGGGCAGGGTTATAAAGAGGGTGACTGTAATATTATTGCCCCGAACTTCCTGTGTCTTCGAACTTCCTGGACCACAAGACGTCAGTGGCGAGGAGTTTTGGGCAGGGCATTGGATGGGTGTATGGTTTAAGCATTGGATGGATGTAAGGTTTAAGGCCCCTGACTTTTTTTTTGTGTGTTCTGAGGCTTTGAGCTGCTTCTTGTCAAATTCCCAACACGATCAGCTGCCCGATGCCAACACGTTGCCATTTCGGCGCGAGGTCTTTCGGCACAAGGGCTCAGTCCAGTATTTTCGCTTTCTCGCAACCCCCAAGAGCAGTATCATGGCGGAGGCTGAGGCCGTGTACCGCTACGAGTCCGGAAACATCGCACATGCCCCCAAGAAGGATTACGGGCCTTTAGACTTCACTGGGAAACTTTGTGGAGGCCTGCGACTCGACATCCGCAGGCGGGCGCCGTTGTATTGCAGTGATTGGACGGATGCCTTCACACCGGAGAACTTCCAAAAATCGGTATCGTCCATCTTGTATCTGTTCTTTCGTTTTGCAGTATGCAGACTTTTGAAGCTTTTGAACTATTGTAAATGTTTGTCCAAATTTTAACGTGCTGCTATTCTGGAAGTCTAGCGTTTCTCCTCGGGCAGCGGCCACTCGTGGCACTAAGGTTCATCGCAGCCCTTGCCCCTGCGATTACGTTTGGCAGTCGGTTCCTTGACGGCACGAACGGCCAGTTCAGAGTGATGGAAATGATCATGAGTACATGTATCAGCGGTTTGATCTTCTCGACATTTTCTGGACAGCCCCGGGTGTGCGA